GTTATTGTCATTGTGTTAATGGACAGAACTAACTCGTAATTATTTGGGTTAAGTCTATATAAAGCCTCGATTTTTCACTGTTCCAGACATGAAGAAAGAGTCTGCATTATAGTTCCAAAACATACGAAATTGTCCTCTGTCTGCATATATATTTTACTGTCTGTCAAGGTCTTAGTAGTGATATTGTTCAGATACTAAGTCAGTTTGTCGGAAAAGAATCTGTAGTGCTCAGACTCTACTGGTTTACCGTTGTATCCTGGAAAACATACGCTCGAGTTAAATCTCAAGCACCTACGGTGAGAAGACGAATTTGTTTTAAGGAAACTGTGTTCACACAGGCCTCGAGTTTTAAAGTCCCACCGAATTATTTATTCTCTGTTTAGATTATTTGTTCACGAAATAATTGGTATAACACTTAAATGCCACTATATTGTTACATGATTTAGAGCTAGAGACTTAGAATAATGACATTCAATACTAGTGTGTTAGAGCATCAATTTAGGTAAGCCATTAAAAATTGCCATAAAGTTTTCTTCGCGATATAGCAATCCGGTTGTCAGCAANGTTTGAAACTGTTGAAACTCCAATAGTTATTGCCATTGTGTTAATGGACAGAACTAACTCGTAATTATTTGGGTTAAGTCTATATAAAGTCTCGATTTTTCATTGTTCCAGACATGAAGAAAGAGTCTGCATTATCGTTCCAAAACATATGAAATTGTCTTCTGTCTGCATACATATTTTACCGTCTGCCAAGGTCTTAATAGTGATATTATTCAAATACTAAGTCAGTTTGTCGGAAAAGAATCTGCAGTACTCAGACTCTACTGGTTTACCGTTGTATCATGTGAAACATACACTCGATTTAAATTTCAAGCATCTACGGTGAGAAGACGAATTTGTTTTAAAAACTGTGTTCCACAGGCCTCGAGTTTTAAAGTCCCACTGAATTATTTATTCTATGTTTAGATTATTTGTTCAAGAAATATTTATTATAACACTTAAATGCCACTATATTGTTACACGATTTAGAGCTAGAGACTTAGAATAATGATATTCAATACTAGTGTGTTAGAGCATCAATTTAGGTAAGCCATTAAAAATTGCCATAAAGTTTTCTTCGTGATATAGCAATCCGGTTGTCAGCAATTCAGTATCAACTTGAAGAAGCCTTCAGCAGCATATTAATTCAGACTTCAGAGGGTCAGTTCTTATTTGACTCCACTTTAAGAATTATCTTCATAAACTCATAGACAAAATAACTAATGGCAGCCGATGGTAGTACCTGAAAAGAGGATCATGAATTTAACATGATAACATAAGAAGATTGTATACTTAATACTCTATTGGGTGTTACAAGTGCAAAGAAAAGTGTTATATGGATTGTGGAGTTCTCGTTAGAATGCAGTTCTCTTGGGTATCATCTAGACCAAGAGGAAATACTGCCTAGGTTAGAACTAGAACAGGTGGAATACTGGAATTGCTTGTGATGTCAGTTATGCGATTCCTTGGATTCACTCAAAATTGTTATATATTTTTCTACCATTTCTTCATCTAAAAAAACATAATGGATCCACACAGGGACGGATGGACCCCTGCCCAGCCCCTACCCACTGAAAATTTTTTTAGTTAAATTTTTTTTATGTAAAAATAAAAATAAAAATCAGACATGATTTTTTTATTTTATGTATTAGCCTAGCCTGTAATCTAGTCCTGGATCCGACCATGGATCCACAGTTTATTTATGAAGGATTCTTGAGAAGGTAATAATTCCCTTTCCATCCCATTTCCACATTTATATCGTCTATCTCCACAACATATTGCTCTAATATCTAGCTTTACTTTTTTTTTTGGCAATCTCAATTATTAGGAGGCTCTTCTCTTTTAACACAATTTACTTCATTCCTTTGACCCCTAGCCATCTTTCGAGATGAAACTTTTGGGCTCTTGATAGATCTGGGGTATGATGTAAATCTTTCTTTTTCACGTACTATTTCATTTCTAAACTCCATTTTTCTTTCCCTCTGAATTCTTTCATATGGAACTCTGAAGAACCTTTTGCAGGTGACGGCATTCACATTAGCATTGATTCTTGAAAACTTAACACTCATTACTGGATAAGCTTTTACTAGAAAAATCTGGACCAAGTTATCCCTTGTTTTTGACAACAAAAACTGTACTTACCAAACTCGTTGATCAATTCCTCTTTAATTCCATTTCGATTTTTGAGTCATTTTTTCGTCTTATTTTGGGCTAAGGCTGCAGGTGCTGTCATCAAAATATTTTCTCACATTATACAGAGATAAAGCAAATGTCCAGATGATAAAGCTACTGCATATTTAAGTTTCTTTGAATGTTCTAAATGGCTTGTTTGGAGTTGTCTTCCATCTTCCATAAAAAACAAGAAGATAATGTAAAACTGGATGTTCAAGGATTAGATGATCTCCCGATGTAAAATACGAGTTGATTAAGAAAGTTCAATCAAATGTAACACATTTAATGTCATGAACTCTTGATTCAGGAAATTCATTTATTTACCTACTGATATGCATGCTAAATTGATGGAATTGAGAAGCTAAAAGAAAGCCATAGCAAAGCTTAAAATGTATGGGAGATTAGAAAAAACTCTTCATTTACCTGTAATAAACTCGGGATTAACCCAGCATAAAGTGCAGGAATGCCGCCTTGCTCAACTATCTTGACACAAGATTGCAATGCACTCATCTTAGTTGCACGAACTTGCATCTGAAGCTGCCTTCTCACAACCTCAAATGGGTATGTAGCAGCTTCAGAACATGTGCCGGCAATCGCTCCATATAGTAAAGTTCTGGTGGGGCCCAACTCAAGTTGTTGCAAAGCATTTAATTCGTCACCTTGTTGTTTCATATGTTGAAGCCGTTTTCTTCCTTCTGGCGAATGCATATATGTTGATTTTAATATATCATAAACTCCATAGAAAACAGCACCAGAAGGTGCCATGCTAATGATTGAAGGAACCAAGCCCTTGTAAAGAGAAAAGAACCCTTCATTTTGGATCGTGTGGTGGAAAGCACCAATTAATCCACCCAAGGCTTCTCCACCAGGAGCAATCATTATTGTCCTAATCTGAAACATTAAGAATACAAGATGATTTTCCAAAAGCAAATAATAAGATGAATGCTTAAAAAAAGGTCCTTAAAAAATTGAAAAAACTTTGCAACGTAGGCACTAAGTATATCTTATGAACAAATGATTAACAAAAAACAGTCGGCAAGTACTCAGCAAAGGAGAGAAAGATGAGTCCAAGCCTCCAAGGCGTCAACTACTCAATCTGTCTAATTTTCTTATGGATGGTCAGTACAACAAGGCTACTAAATAGTCATTTACAAAGATCTTAAACTGAAATTGAGGCAAGTCAGCAATCATTTTGATCATGTTCAATGAAATACGGTCCTCGAAATTAGGCCAGATTCTAGTAGATGAACATGAATGTTCGATGAGTGTTTAAAATTAGAATGATTGTTGTTTTTTGAGAATACTGAGGAAACTACATTCCATGTAGAGAAGAATGAAAGATTCTTTCCACATTCCAAACAAGGTTTAACCGTACAAATTCCGCTGGTTAATTAAATGCCCGAAAAGGTATGAGATGGTCAAGTTTAATTCAGACTGGTGAGGTTAGCATCAAATACCAAATGCAAAGTTTTTTAAGTCTATAAAATAACAATGAGACTAATATCAGTAACCGAGAAGCAAATCAATAGAACTGTTTTAATCAAAAGCAATGGGTGGGGCAGATTTGACAATTAAACTATACGTGGCTAAGTCATAATTGGTAAAACAGTACATATTATATAAAAAAAGAGAGATCAAGTAAAAGATGAGAGTGTGATAACTGTCCCCAAACGCAAATTTGAGAAATGGGATAAGGGGCTGCATGGGCAATACTCGAGGAAAGCCTCTTCCAAAGTATCGGTACAATATTGCAACAGACTGCAACAGTTAATTATAATCTCGACCCATATGTTCTTGTAAGTAAATGAATTGCATCACTTACAGTGTCCATAGGTATGCAAAGCACAGTAGCAGTAACTCCTGCTGCTGCACCAGCAAGGAACCTTTCAAAATTTGTTGTCTCCTTGTTGCCAGACAATCTGAGAAGTTGATTTCTGTATGTATCGTATGCATAGAAATTGATAGCCTTAAATGGAGCTGTGCGTAAAATATTGACAAAGTTTCCTTTCCAAAATCCTCTGATCCCTTGTGAAGCTGCTATTGTCTTGATGAGCTCAAAAAGATTCTTCCTTTCACCACGAACTACATATTCCAGCTTTAATCTTTCCAACGGTGCAAGAAAAGTCCTGGTACGAAAGAAACGCATGAGACATAAAGGTCAAACAGACACAAAAGGTTAAGCTATGCATACTTGTCACACACCT